GATTATGTGGTTACGCATCGGTCACTTCCTCTAGCGTAGGTTGGTCTCCTAAAAGGTAGTTGGCACACCACTTGCTTGCTGGACCACTTCGAGGAAGCCGCCAGCAAATGCGATGGAGGTTTTTTCGTAACTGCCCTATTTTTGAACTTCAGGACAGCCCCCCATGAAGTACCCCGTGATCGACTAATTCTGGGGCTAAAATTATTTGGAATCAGTACCCCCTTTGTTATCCCGAATAAGCCCACTTCTTAGACAGCGTACTGAAGCAACAACGTTCAGTCACGCCTATTCTCCACCAAGTCTACTATGAATGATATCAGTTGAAGTGGCGCGTAAGGGCCACTGCTTTTCTTTCTTTAGATAGGTGATGTCTTCACTGTGACAGGATGAATTACAAACTCCACATAGCTCCTCTTGCTCTTCACTGACTGGGGGTTTTAACGAAATTTACGACGACCTGACGAATTTGTTCTCTCGGGGTGAAATATAGGATTCCCTCTCTCAATTTACTCCTTGGCGATTCTTAGTTGCAATCAAACGTATTTTGAGCGTTACGTACTCTTGGAACCTAAGATGCATGTGACGCGCTCAGTCTATCTTACCCGAATGTAGGTGCTTAGTTGGCATTTCGCTTAAACACGTACGTACTGTTGAGGCTAAGCTATCTTGACTCAAAGCAGTGGTCCACCGAGCATTTAAATGCAGAAAAACCCCCTTCAGCAGTACATGAGCCTCATGTTCATAGAAAACTTACTGGTGGTGTACTGAGCCGACACGAAGAATTTGGTTAGGAGGAAGGTGCAGAACACCGAAGGTTGACTGGCTTTAGTTAGGACACCCGGGGCCCAACCCTACTTTGTTTTTGCGGCCTTTGGACGACATTACTCATGTTAGTTGTTGCCTTACTCCTAACCCTACATCCTCATAGGTTCTATGCAATCGCGAGTGTACTGTACTCAGTCACAAATGCCATCTTAATATAAGGTCATGATTCTTCACAATGCAGAACGGGAGGTTTAGGAATAAGCTCTCACTTCGCATTCTCACTTTCATGTCCCCGTTTCATTTCCAAAGTCCACATAGTGAATTCCTTCAACTGACTAAGATCCATCAATTTCTAGGCGACCGGGTCGTATCCATAAGCTATCCATACTCAGTCAGGGTCATGCCACTGCGTCCAATAATAACACTGTCCGTTAAAATGAATGGAGTCGTTATGTACAACCATTTTCATCAACTTTATGGGCTGATACCCCTCTTCTTAATCACTTCCCCGTATGGTTTACATGCATAACGATCCTTGCATCCCACCAACACAATTTTTCACTGCCTAGTGGCAATAAACAACTTTTCCACAGGCGCTTATTTTTTATTCGTACACTGATCTATCAGCTTTGGACCGTTTCTTTTGATGATAGACTAAAGGTTGTACTGTAAAAATGAGTGTGGTATAGATGCTGTCTGCTCACGTAATCGGCACAACTGTAAGCATGTGGAAATGAGGCACTTTTTACGGTCGAATTCGCTAAGCTGACCCAAGTCACGAAATTTAGGAATGCAGACAGCACGAAAATATTAAAACCGAAGCCGTCACACGATGGGAGATTGTTGTTTAACTCCTCATCCATCTTCTGTCACCTTACCCAACTTACCCCAGCGATCAGTCCTTTTGCCTTTCGATGAGTCAAGCACTTACATCTCACTACCTACCAGTTCACACCTAAAGCTTGAGAAAAACGATAGGTGTTATATTTAAATCTCATATTAAATATTTTTCCACAATATCCAGCAATCCATCATGTTTTTATAAATTGCATCATAATGATTTCTTACTCCCTTCTAACCTACCAGTAGAATTCCACCAAGGCATTTTGTCACCTTTTTTACAATACCAGCACTAATTTTTAACAGAGTGCAGCGTCACTAACAAACATTTAGTCTTGAGCTTGGAGGTGCATAAAAGAATACCTTCATAATCCTCTGATTTCGTCTACAGCTACACTTCCTGTAAATTACAGTGTTGCTTCAAGAGAGAAGTGAAATCATAGATCCTTTTCACCGCAAGCTGAAGCAGCGGCTAAATGAGGTTCTTATTACCAGCATCATTCTTCAAAAGTAATTGCTACTCTCAGCCTAAAATCTGGAAGTGCAACCAATTCTCTGCATGTGAGTAAGCAGTATAAAACACGATGCAGTGAAGGACGACATTTTAAAAACTACCAATAGGTAAAGTATCCCTTCGGAACACACCTGGAAGTGCCTTTTGCTGTCACCTGAAATGAACCATTATTTTTATACGGCAGATCAAAAATACTCTAAAAGTACACTAGATTACATCGTATGATTTTACTACTCACTAGAATGGTTGGGGGCTTCAAAATGGGCAGTATGATATAATGTACTCCGTGAAAAAGTTTTAGTATGCAGGGATTCACGCGGGTAGGCAACCTATTGAAATTGAATGACGCGTCATACGCACACCCTCTGATTTACATCCTGGCCCAGGTTTCAGATTAAATGCTCTTACGTTCGAACGTTTCGACAGAGACTTGCGCATATCACAAGTCTTATTCACAAATTACTAACAACGTGAAAGGGCACCACTGGACTTAATGACAATCAACTTCAAATCCTTCTCACACTTAGAACGAGGCAGTAAAGCCCCTCTAATGATGAAAATATTTTGACCAACTTTACTTGGATGTAGTACCTTATGTCTATTTACACTTAGCAGGATTTTTTCAGCCTATTCTTATTCTTACGGTCTCCTCGAGTCTTCCCGGAAGAAGCCAAAGTTTGTGAAACTGTCAACTTTCACCGAAGTCTATCTATCGTTGGCATGTGATGAAGGACGGGAAGGGTGTTCGAGATGATTCTCAATACAGTAAAGTAAGCATTTGCTTGCCAAAAGCATCTAGCAACCGAAAACAGTCGGCAACTTACCAAACCTATCAGGTAAGTAGTCATGAAGTGGTTTAGTTCGATTTGAATTTCAAGCGTGTGGTGTAGAAACTGTTCACTTGCAAGTCTTTTAAAAATGATATATAAAACGCCATGGCCGTTGGTCAGTATTTCAACGTGACTGGTTTGCAAACATGCAAATTGTAGGTTGGTATCTTTGATGAACAAACATTCAGAGAGCTCTGATAGTAGAGGTCGATAGAAGAACATAGGGAATCTTCATTATGTCTTGAATATAATACTCGTCTAGCAATTTACGAAACCCTTCGAGAGTTTCCAGCTGGTACCCACATCAAGTGAGACTCTACTGCCAAGGCAAGTGACAGCCTCATTACCACATTGATTAGATAAGGGCAAAGCTACAGACGACATCCATGCGGTGGTTGATACGAAGCTGGAAAGTCGAAGTGTTAAAAATCAAATATATGTCCGTGACACAGTTACAGTAAACCAGGTCGTAAATCTTCTAGTTGGATGCATCAATGCCTTCAGAGAAAAACGAAGAGTAAATTCTAACAGGCGAACAAAATACCCATGTGCGTTTTTCTAAACCCACTCCAAAGGCGAAAAATGAGGGTTGAAGAATTTCAATAATTTGGTCTCTATTGAAGTAAATTTGTTTTTCGTTTACTTCACAACTCGTTCAATCGCTAAGATGTTTGCTTGTCAAACATTTAACGGGTTAGAATTCGTGTCATGAGTCACAGCTTGCGTTTTAGACTGGAAAGCAGTTGTGACGCGATCACTTAAGTAATACGCAAAAATAGGTATTGGACTGACGGCTTATGCGTTGAAAAGTATTGTAACAGTTAGTATTCAGTGGCCAATCCCACTTCCTCACTGTTGTGCAGGTCACTGCAATTACGCCTTCTATAGTTACCGTATCTGTAGAAATCATTTAGTAGCAACCACAGCAACTATTCAAATCCAACTAAACGCAGTCCAGTTTAGCATCCAGAAGGCTGTCGTTGGAGCAAAAACCGATCGCTTACTTCGAAACATAATGCTGCGACTGTTCACAGCAAAATAACTTGACATGGTTCTCATCTTTAGTACAACTATTTAATGGTGAATTTTGAAGACTGCAGTTGAATACACCGCTCTTATAAGTGTGATGTGGCCCAATATTCAATAATCCACCTCCTATTGCTCAAGTTATCCATCCATAACCCATCGGAAGTTCTCGCATTGTCATCAGCGTTATTTGCAGGGAACATAGTGATCTGTAGAAATGTAGGTGACATCGGCAACTGTAGTTCACTGTAATAAGGTTTAATAGGCGAGATCCAGCGGGTGAGAGAAAACCATCTAGAACTCGTTACAGTCAACTGTAAAGTAGTTCACACCAGATTTTCCGCAACACATGATTATTATGTAGGATGCGGTGTATTACCAAATGTTTGTGAAGATCACCACCCAGGACTTCCGACACCTGAAAACTTTACCACACACAACCATATATCCAGAAATGTTGGGTAGCCGGTTGCGCTTTGGAGTGTCATCTTCGGCATTTAATAGATCTATGTAAGGTAACCTCATAATGCTATACATCACTAATGTCCACGCACTTCTGAGATACCAGGTGACCGTGTACTCATTACACCTGACAAGTAATAAGTACCTGCTAAAAATGGTTCAAAGAGGAGTGGCAGGTATGAGACGAGGTCCTTCTGTTAGTATCTCACATAAGAGGATTGGAGTGCTAAACTTATTTCATTTTAAAAGAAAGCAAACTCGTAGCGGCCTCCCAGTGTTATAATTAAAGTAAAACACCCTTGGAACGTTCAAGGTAAGCAACCAAAGCAAACTAAGAGGGCTCTAGAAGACTTCATTATTCCTCGGATCCCATGAAATTTCACATCAGACCGCTATTCTGACATTGTAGCAATCATCATTTAGGAATTGTACAGTCTGATGGTAAAAATCCAGTGAAGTGCAAGTTATTGAAATCTTGTAAGTCAATTATATCCATGTCTATTTTTAGCTGACTATGTCAACTGTGTTTAACTAGTTCAATGGATTCAAGCGAAATTTGGGGTAAATTGATCTGTTAATGAGATGCCGAACAGAGATGTCGTAAAGTAATGAATTTTATAAGATGCCTGCTAAATTTATGCTTATTACAGGGATGAAGAAACTTTCAAGGCACATCACATCGCCAGTTTCATCGAAGGTAATGAAAAGCTTATGCCAAGCGGAGTTGTTCACCACATTAATCAACTGCACAACAGTGGCAGAATCGATGAGACACCATGCATCGTACGGCTAGACAAAAAGGGGATTCGAGTCGAACTAAAGTCAACAGAGGTATGAAAAATGTTTTGTGACAATCCAATTATAAGGAGCTTGTGGAGTTCTTCGAATGGTCCTCTATTAGTGATGAAATTGCCGTACTTAGACGCACCGAAATTTTTCAGTACGCCTACCTTATCCTTTTTCGATGTTCACAATATAACGCTGAACTCAAGCGTGATGAGTCAGAGCTTCATGTCTTTAGTTGTGAAACAAAAGAAGATGCCAAATTGCTTGCTAACGCTATCAATGAGCATAAACGTGCTACTTTGTAAGATTAAGTTCAAATAGTAAACATTCTGCAGGAAAAAAAGTCTAAACGGCAGTGCGTTGAAGAATCCGGAAATTTCTTTACGTCGTGGCAGGTCGGAAGAAGTAAGCTTATTTAAAACTATACTTTTCAATTTGGCCAAACGTATTCCCTGAGCTTCACGTTTAATTCATCCTTATTGGAAAGCCTGACGTATATAACTCATGATTAGGTAGAAGTCACTTTTACTAGTTTTCAACTAGTAGGTACTTTTATTTAGCTCCTTTCGTAGCATTTGACTTTTTGACACTAAATCATGCCTGTTTGTTTGTTACTGAACGAAACTGAAGCTGTAAACCAGAAATAAAGGACACTGTTATATGTAGATGGAGTGCAACTAAATCATCACGTATTCTTATCAGCCTGTGATTAAATATGTGGCTTCTTAAACTGTGAATATTAGGCTTGTTAAATAAAAATGAAATTCGATACATGACGTTAAATTACTGACCTGAGCAAATTATTGCAGCTTGCAAGTGAATCTTGTGTGTCACACTTTCTGGTTGAATTTGTATGGCGCATTCTTCTCATGGCATTTTAAAAGCCAGCATATATAGCTTGAGAGATACTAATTTTAATTTCCTGAGACGATGCCTCAAGAATTCAGTACCTTTAAATCAGACTACTTAGTTTTTAGCCATAATTCATAATCTAATCATCATTTGTCAGTTAAAAATAGAGTTATAGTGAGATATAAGGGACTCATGTGCTTCTTATCCAAGACATATGTTACGACTGCGCCTATCAAGCCAGGGTTTTCCTCAAGGCATGCAGTACTGGCTCGTTTCTTTCAGCTGTGCAAACGAAAAACGTAGTCATAGAGTGAATGCCTGTTGTCATAGTCTCTAACATATATCCACTACTACATATCCCCGTTGATGTTTGAGCACATATGCAGCAGAATACGAGTCCGGTTGTCTGGGCATGCTTTATCATCGTTTAACCTGACGGGAGGGTGCAAAATACGTGTCTGTACTGCTTGAGGCTATCTCTAGCAAATCCTTTGTACTTGCTTATGAGGGGTTATTACTCAGGCAGATGACAACCAAATATATTTCTCATGGATATGTGCCGTTATTCTCCATTTTTGTGTTGAAAATGCTCCAGGAATTTATGATACTTTTCTTTACTTGCCACTACTTAACCGCTTGTACACAACATTTCAATACAGTATGTCTTTGCTGCTTACATTGGAAGTGTACGTTACTCACTATTTAATTTCTCCCCCTTTTAAAAGTGTGGCAAATAATCATGAAAGACAGAACATGGAAGGAATTTCCAGCTCATGCATTACAAATATCTTGGTAGAAACAATAAACAAGCAATCCTTAGATAAGTACTAAGTCCAAAGTAACGAAAGTATGATTTTTTATAGATGTGCGAACATTTACCTGATGAAGAAATCTAATGTGCGACGCATATCAATTCATCAAGGAAATGAATTTTGTCTAAGTTAAATAGAGGCACATTAAACTATGCTGCTCATAGTTTGGCGATACGCTTGCGCTCCAATGATTTAGGTTCAGACTTTTATTTTGGATATAAAAGGCTATGAAACTGTTTTAATCATTTTCTAGTAGACCTTTGTGCTTTTTCAGTCATCTTTTGAACCAGTCGATCAGTGACGCAGATACTATTTATTCAGAGGGTCAGTTTTAGGGGTTGATTACTCGAGGCAATAGCCAGCAGTCTACAGAGACTATGCTCGTTCTCCGATTCTATGTTCTCCTGCCATGTTCTCTGAAGTGTTTTGACCAAGTGGGAAGAAAACGAGAAGGTAGTTCAGGTACGCTGTCATTTCTTAAGATTTTGTGTAGCATGATTAGACCTTCACTTTGTCTGCAGTAGGATAAAGATAAGAGGTTTAAATGCTGCCAGGTCAGGCCAGCCGTCGCAGGGATCATACTAGTGTCCGTCCTTCGAACTCTTTTCAAGAGACCTGAGTCATCTTCCAAACAAAAACTTGCATCTCGTGCACAATCTCATAGTTTGGACCTAACTGAGGATGTGTACAAGGTGATGAACATATCATCTTTTATCTTTGTAAACGTTCTGCATGATGCCTAGTGTCCTGATACTTTTGGCTGAGACCAGTCGGCAGGGAGCTTTGGCCTTCAAATCATTGCTTACTGCGATTCCTAGGTCATTGTGGGCCGATATCGGGGTATAGGTGTCCTACCGCTATCGTAGGTGTTGCCATCTGTATACTTCATGTTCACTGTCACACACTTACCTGCGTTGATAGACATCAGCTTCTTTTCTGACCAGGTTGACAAACTATTAAATTCTATCTAAGGTGAATGCGCATCCTCGTCATACCTACTTTCTTGCCAGATTTTTACCTGATTGATGCACAGAACTATAAGAGATTTCTTGATATTCGGCAATTCATTTGTGTAAATTTACGTCTCCTACCAACAGACAGCTATGTGATCAATATAAGTAGATTGCTAGTGATTTCAAAACTTTCGCGTTTTATAAGCAGTCCGAAATGAGGTGCCTTGTCCAGTGCATTATATAAGTGTGCAAAAATGGCATCTAGAGGTATTCTGCCATCCATATACTTAACCTAACTTTCTATGATTGCGAAAAATTTCGTCATACAAGAATAACTTCAGCGAGAACCATATTGCAAACGATGCAATACAGTGTTGCTTTTCATGTGTTGGAACTTGAAAATTGCATTTGCTTTGCCCTTACTACTGATTACATTGATTCTTTTATCCTCTTTCGTTTGACCTTTAGTTATTTCCACTCACAGCAGTTTTTTTCTTTTCCTTCTGCCCTGGAGTATGACAGCTAAAAAAGATTCACCTTTATTCAAAGTTTTACAACAACCAGGTACAGTTATGGGCTATATTTTCTCTTTGGACACACAAAACTTTGGCCTATAATAGAGTTCTAGCACTACATCGAACAAGTAGGGAATAAGCAACACAAACTACGTATAGAAAGCATGAATTGATTACAATACATGCGGCTATTAATCGTTTTTGGCGGGGCCAAATATTCTGACTTGATTTATTTACACAAAGGTACAGCGCAAAGAAGTTCAAACGATGACTTACGGTATTTCTCTATGCATCTGTTTGTCAAATTTTAATTATAGTCTCATAGAAGGTTTATATCAGAAATAATTATGGACAAGCCATCATCTTTAATAGGCTTGGTTCTACCCTATGCAAGTGGAAAATATCCTTATTACTCCCAGCAAATTCTATACACTTTACTTATTACTTCAGTACTACTAAGATCTACTCAAGGCAAACGTTTTTAGATTATGCCCATTAAAAATATCTTAAAATTCTAAATGATGCCATAAACTGCATAAGGAACCTACTTTCTCACTTTTTATTTAATATCTGTTGTTTTCGACTGTTAGTAAGCTAAATAATCATCAGATATAAACGTGTGATAGTAAATCAGTCAAATACTGTGCTTTTTGAAGATCGTGCGTTTTGGCTACATTCATGCCCAACCATTTTGATAAGGTTCACACGCAAGAACTAAGACTTTGTGAAGAAATCTGTACAGTGTACACTTCGTTTGTAAAACGTACACTGTATCTGCGTGCACTTTTTTGTCACCTATCTGATTTCAGGCTTATTTTGGGGTAAAATTGCAGTATTTAACATCACCAAATTTCATCTGTTATATGTTTGCTTCAAAAGTGTTGCCAAGGTGATGTTGGTTTGTAAAACTGAAAAAATAAAGGTGTCAGTAAACCCCACTAAGTGAGTAGTGCATAACAAGCTACTGGGTGCACACCAGAAATGTCACTGTAAATGGTCAGAGCAATGATATTTAACAATGTTTTCCAATGTCCTTCGTTATTTTTTGTATTTCTGGTACAATACTGAACTATGATATCCAACCATAAGCAAAAACTAAGTTGGTAATCGAATAAATATGAGTAAACTTACGAAATACTTGTTCGAAAATGGCAGTAACACATGAAGAGAAAGGTTGAGATGAATACAACTGTAATTTTTTGTTATAAGATTTAACCAATGAGTACACCATTTTGAATAAAGTTTGCTCAAGAAGTTGTTCTAGAATTTCATCTTCTTTTATTCTTGATATCTTCACTTTTGTACTTAATATTTGACAAGCTGTTCACTTTTGTTTTTCAAGTTATTCACATGGTGTTTAAACCCATAGCTTTCCCAGGAAGAGGACACTTGGAAGTGGCTAGTTTATTTATTACCTATGTATATCTTGAAGACCAGCAAACATGAAAGTCATATAGGATGTTCTTCCGGTTCAAAACATTCATCTGTAGAGAACTTATGCTCAAGACTCTTAAGCTTTTCTCTGGACTGTAAGATGGCATTGGGTGTTGACTTGCACTGGTGTTTATTGTTTGGAAGACTTCATAATAATCTCAGCATCGTAAAAAATAAGGCAAACTATAACCTAAATTTTGAGTTACATTCGTAATGGCCGATTTCGTCTGCTCTTACGTAATTACTTTTAGATCGTTTTCTTCTTCGCATACTCCTCTGAAATATGGTAACTTCTGCTGACATCTGCGTTGATTCGTCTGTCCACTTGTATTAGTTATAGAACTTACATACAAAGTCAACCATGCAACAGTTATTTTGAGCAAAGTATTCTCTAATCTTACCATACTATTCTGGATCCACTTCTTCCTTGAATTCAAAAATCAAATTGCCATGAATAAATTGTACATGACAATCACTTATGAAAAGAAGGCATTTTTTGGTTTTTTATAATGCTATAGCTCTTACTTTTCAAAAGTTCAAGGAAACGCAAATGGGGTGGACGCAGTGAGTTAGCTGAATACTCAGAGAACAAGCAGAAGATAAGTGGGACTACTATGATCTAGGAAACAATTATGTGTTTATATAATCAATGTAACCACTGGCACCCACCAAAAAATCTCAGTTTTATTCTTCCAAGTCATGACATTCTCACAAATTGTAATGAAGTGATAGTAACGGTTGTTTGTATCTGTCATAGAATTAATGAATAAAAATACACTATTCCTTATATGTTTGCACTTACACTTGCTTGGTCTCTTGTATCTGTAAGTAGAACTTCAAATTGAGATACATTAAAACGAAGGATTTTCCTTGTTTGTGGAAATTTATTCACTATTGTTATAGTCAGGGTAAAAACAAAAATCCTGACTTTCCTTGCTATTTCAGATGCGCTTTTTATGACCATTTTCTTAATTTCCGTACATTTTGGTCCCAAAATACTCATTTCAAAACTGTTCTGAACAGAATTATTTCCTTTCGTAACTAACTGTAGTTTGATAATATTTAAACCAGCCTAATATCACTTTCACAAACAACAATCTTTTGATATACGAAGTTCATTGATTACAGTGAGGGTACAGTAGTTTTGGCATACACCTTCCTCCTCTGTGTCCTGATGCTTGAGGTTCTGATTGGAGATTCATCACCTTTGTGAGCAGTTTCTACTCTCTGACTTACAGATTAGTTGATTATTTTAGCACCAAACGTCTTTCAAACAAGTAAACAGTAGCTTTTATGGCTCCCGCTTCTCCTGTGACTAAATTTTTGTTGCCTTATTTGAGCTTCAGAGGTGTGAACAAGGTGCAGGAGGCTTTCCTCTAGTAAATAGAACAAATGACCCTCCTAAGATACTCAGATGTATTTGAAAAAGTAGCAAGAAGAAAGCGGAACAATTATCATCGATAGTCTTTGAAAACCATGAAGCAGAAAAGAATGGGTCTAAAGCGAATAGAAAAAATGCAATATCACGGTTAGTGTGAAGATAGGACATGGATACATCTGTGTTGTTGCGATTGGTTCTCAGTCATGTAACCTGGAGTCTGCAAGCTCCCACATCCTCTGCCACAAGAAACCAAATCTGAAAGCCTACCTTTGCCTTCGGGGCTCAAACTAATAGTGTGCGAATTTTAGAGCTCATGCCATGTTTTATTTTGAACACTTTCAGCTTTCTACGGACCTAATCTCACTTTGACCAACATTTTACGTCAAGGCAGATGGTAACTAAACATGTGTAACGCTTATCCAAACGACCTTCATCATTTAGGATTTTTATCCTAATCAACCGACTCACCTATTTTACTCAAGGTGGCATATGGCAAATGCTGATGAGGCATTGGTAGTAGAACATCCATAGCCTTTCCATGTGGTTCAACTTTGCTGACCATATTTTATAACCCTACAGTAGAATGAATCGAAATGTTGCACATAAGCTAGTCAGTCTGCTTTATTGTACCTTGGGGAAGAAATTTCATGCAATGTATATTACATTGATGTAGTTTTGTTTTTGTGAATTTCTCTGAATAATTTGTTTCAATCCGCCTACTTGACCCGACAATCCAAAGAAGCTACTGTTGCTAGATACAGCTTGTCGGTAATATCTCTTTATTTCTTGTTAAATGACTTTTATCAAAGTTTTCGAACGGTTGATTCTATAGATTTCACTGACATACAACGTTGATTATTATCAGAAATCAAGAAGCCTGGATGCGGTACACCTTATATATACGGTAATGGTAGATAGTGGCTAGCAGTGGAATCCAGGACGCGCATTTCGTCCCATTTGGGACTAAAACTATACCCGTTGCACAATAAGTGGCTATTGTGGTTCAGTTGTGTATTGGATAACGCTCTGGCGTTTGATGCGATCGCTCCCAAGTCTGAATCCTGGTGGGAACAGCATCACTCACTGGGAAGCAGGTGGATCCAGCTGACGAGTACCAAATAGGACGAGATGCGCATCGTGGATTTCACTGACAGCCACTATCTATCATTACTATATATAATTAATTGTTTCATTCTGAGAAAACACCATACTACTACTGTCAATAATTACCGCAAGAATGAATAAAGAAAGAAAGTGTTTTGCTTTCATTTAGTTAGTTGATTACAATTTTTCCCACACAATGATAACATTTGTGAGCTACCTTTATAAAACACCAGTCAATCAATATATTATGATGACACTAAAGTACACTGGAACCAAATATGATAGAAATTGAAATGTGGTAGATTAACTGACAGTGAATATAGTTACATTTGTATGAACAATTATTTCTCATTCTATTTCACCAAGAAGAAAAAAGTATAACTAATAATTCACATTATGGAAATTAGCAATCGTCTGCTTTCCGTCAAAATATATCTTATTTTCTTTCCGAAAAATATGAGTTCTAATTACTCTTTTCTTCTCATTATATTCTTTTATAGAAGTATTGAATGAATTCTTTCATTGCTTGTATGTTGTGCACACATTTATACACCGCACAAACATGTACACATGTATAATATTACTTATTGCATTAGGAGCTGCTTATTTCTTGTGCTTGAATCTTTTTTTTACACGACAAAATATCCCAAGTGATTCACAAAATTGAAAGAGAATTACTTTCCCACTTTTTGGAAACTCAACCTTTAGACATTCCTTTGCAAACTGACAAGTAGTAGGATTGAAAATCTTCCCACTTGGCTTTTATACTCTAATGATATGGACAGAAATGATGGATGGTAATTTAATTATTCTGTCAAGAGCTGGTTTGTCCTGTTTGTCTGTGATTGTCTAGTGTAACAGTATAAAACAAATACATTCAGAAACCATTTGTAGCTTCAGCTGCTTATAGATTTACATCAACCCTGATTGGGTGACTACAGCTGTTGATAACTAAGTAATATATTATCAACCTTTTGCGATCTAAAGTATTAGTTTACCTCTGATATACAGTAATTATAGTTTTTGCAGCTAAAACAAAATACACCATCCTACTCCTTGATGTAACTGAGTCACCCTCCATCATCTGTTTTTTTCAACCTTCTGGAATTAAATCAGCATTTATCGAGGAAATCACTATTTCTACTAATATGAGCTATTGTAAACACATATAATTCTAGGGTTATCTGTGATACAAACCTGAAGGTTGAAAGTGATTGCTGAATTAGTTTTTCAGATTATTTGAATCGTGAGCCTCGAGTGTACCTTATTATAAAAAGTGGCGATAAGTGCAAATTTAGTGCAGTCAGAAACTAAGACCTCCAGGGATCAAAAGCAGCTGGATTTTACGGAATCATTAAAAATTCCCAATATAATTCAAAAGCCATTTGACTGAACAAAGAATATTCTTTTCTATAACTTCTTCAGGTCCTATAGTTTTGTGTACGTATTGAGGAATTATGTATCAGTTATGCATCATTTATCAGTTTGTAATAAAAACTATACAGTTGAGGAAGTCAATTCAGAAAAGTCTCAAGTGAACCTTTTTGACAGAATCAAATGTTACTGGAATCCAATTCAGAATAATTGATTATCTAAGTCATTACACGGCTTATATATCACTATAAGGTGATAGTTTAATAAAACAATGTGAAGGTGTATATGAGAGCTAGATGAAATAAACTAAGAAGGATTATTTGAGAAGTAATGGCTTGATACTATGTCACTCATGTTTGGAAACAAAGTAAGTTATGAGAATTTGTCCAAGTTATTTCATATTATAGGGATGAAGGGGTATCTACAGTACGGAATTAGAAAATTAGTTTACTTGGGGTAAGATGTAAATGAATCTGTGCTTCCGGAATCGGGCCATAGTAGTTGTGGCGGCAACTTTTGCTTTCCTAGTTGTTTGATCCCGATTTCTATTGCTTTTGCAGTTTGAAGGATTCGGAGTCGGTTACCTTCTGGAATGCTAATGGGAAGACGGTACACGATGAAAAATGACTTGCTCATATACACCTTGTGATTCATTTCAACCAAGTTAACTCCGTATAACTAATTGAGATACTGATGTACATTGTCGTATTTGTTGCAATTAGACCGTAGGTTTCCTTAGCAAGATAAACGACACATAATAGTGTCTTAACTGTTTATGTCACCGTATACACCTATAGACAACCACAGTTTTCTTTTGATCACAAGATGTTCTACTGAAAACTACCCCATAATATTAGCTCGGTGGAGAACACGATAACCTTTGAATCAGTTGCCTCGTGGTTTAGTTTGTTATCAGGAGTACTGAAATAATCATATGCAATATCGTGCACACCGTTGCAATCAGAAAGTTATTCACATAAATCACACTGAAAAGAAAGCACGCAACAATAACACTGTTTTTACTTTATAAAATCTTTGCTTAAGCAAATCTCACCCTTGTAAATTTAAATATTGTCCTTTTTTTCTTTTTTAGAGAATCAGTTCCACAAGATATGAATGTGGACGAAATTTTTACATACTTAACAACTGTATAGATGATATAGAAAGCTTTGAAAAACGACTTGAAAAAGGCCTTAGACGGATGTCGAATAACAGTCGAAATAGTTCAGGTCAGTATGGTGTATGAGTTATTTGCTGTTCTACTTTAAGCAAGTTTATGCATGATTAAGTCTGGTAAGAGAAGTCATAGTACTTCGCAAATTAATTACAACTAACTGAATATTATCTTCGATAGTTTTGTGTACTTGTTGTGAGTCCGTGAAACAATAAACTTCAGTTGCACTATTGTTTTGATGCTTTTAATTTCTCATTGCTATACAGGGCTGAACTACTTGACCTGTGTTAGCAGATAGGCTCCTATACAGGGCCTCGATTCTACTGGATATTCATGATGTTATATTCATCTTGATGGCTGGCAGCGGAATCCAGGATGCTCGTTTCTTCCCATTTGAGCCTCGTCAACCAAATGTGCCTGCATCCCAGGGAGTGATGTTATTCCAACTGAGACTCGGACCCAGCACGCATCTCATCAAACTCCAAAGCGTTATCCCGAATAGGAGCCCATCCGCCAACACAGGTTGAGCGATTCGACTCTGTAGAGCAGCGGGAAATCGCGAGTATCAAAAAAACAACTGATACCCTTTGTACAAAGGGTGGCTGCTGTGCCCAAGTGGCTTAGTGGATAACTCTTTGGTGTTTGAAGAGATGAGTGCATCACTTACTGGGGTGCAGGCACATCTGGCTGACGAGACCCAAATAGAATTAAACAAGCGTCCTGGATTCTACTGTTAGTCACCAAGATGGATATAACTTCAGTTGCATTACCTCCTCTGTGAAGATGTATCAAGAACAATAATATCAATCATTGATGCAAATTACCTACAAACAGATAATTAACCTGAGAAACAATTAACTGATCGCTTTCCAGTTTCATTCTTAAGAACTAGGAAAATTTTTTCCAATATAAAGAAGAAGGTGATTACCAGTTTAAAAAGGGTACTTTAAGCTTAGTTGTTGATAAATTACTGTGTAAAAATATGGACTGAAATTTATACCAAGTTCGTTTATAATAGGTCATTTCATTCTGACCATTCTGGTGAGTATTCTTGTCAAACACAAATGCTTTCGAATTTTACACTCCTTACTCTACTGTATGAGTAGTTTTTATGCTTCAGTTCGTGGATTATGGGAATAAGGAAGAGTGTGTAACTAGCCAAATGTTTATCAATATAACTTTGTATCCAAATTTAGATGCATACTTTTGGTGTTGCAAGTCTACAGCCTACATTAGAACTGTTTTACGCATACAAATATTCTCAGGTAATAAATCTGAAACTTCAGATGTTATCACACTATATATACTCGTACCCCATTGTCTTAAAGCTTATAGCATTGTGATTATTATCAGGAATATCGGGTCAGAAACTGTCTGAAATCAGGGATTAGTTTCATTTCTCGGTCTGAACACCATTCAGCTTTCTTTCACTCTGAAGTTTCCTTGGTTAGCATTGATTCCAGCATCAGTATTCTGTCAGCTATTACCCCTTTCATAATACTTTACTACTTCAGCTCATCTACTTCTTAAATATAAGTTTAACTAGTACAACCACGGGTATAAATACAACTCCAATATAGTGCTGGAGCATCCAGCTAGCAAATCTCCAACGGATTACAAGCTTCAGTGAAAAGCATTCACGGTCATGTTATGCAAAAGTTTATAGTGCTAATCTGTACTTAATGGCTACTAATCAAATTACTAATGATAAACTTAAATGTATTGATCATTGAGATATACAATTTAAATCTTTTATTGGAAAGGTATGTAAATCGATTTGAACAACTTATGTGGTAAGTAGTACAAAAGAATGAAATATTCAATTTCAAAACCTACTGGATTCTTATACAGAAGAAAATTTATTGTTTAAAGAAGAAATTTCCAAATAAAATATGTTCTATAACAATTTAGTGTGCATGCATCTATGAGATGATGTCTCTTATCTATTGTATTCGACATAAAAAAAGACAGCGAGAAGAAGAGTTCAAGTTGGTTATGACTACTACTGATCACTGTTCTTGATAACAAACACACATACTTGCCAATATTTAGAGAGAATTTCATAAGCGTCTCTATGTAGGTAACATAATATCGCTTTGCTATAGAATACACAATGACTAATGGATAGATTTGTCTACAACATAGGGTGCCTAATTTAAAGCCAAAAGATCCATGATATGATATATGATTCTAACACCATGTGATATGTTCACATGACATTGTTTAGATGAAAATCCTCATCAGTATATTGTATATATATATATATATATATATATATATATATATATATATATATATATATATATATATATATATACTTTACAAATGTCTTTTCGTGAACATAAACTAAAATGGTTTTTCTTGTATTCTGAGCAATTATTTGACTACTAATGGAATTTAAGTATTGATTAAAGTTGCAAATTCAGGCATTGTTATTGTCAGTAAGAAGGGATAACATTAAAATCTTGTTCATAATTAACTGAATTACAACGCTCATAGTTTCACTAACGTTTATCTTACCAAATACCACACATCATAAAAGGCAGTGTTGTTCGATCAAAAAGTTGGTTTTTTTCGAGAAAATTACAAACATTCAACTATTTCAGTTGATTCAGGTACAAAAGCTTGTCACTATCTTATTGAACAAAGCACTTTAAGGCAGTTATAATGTCATTTACAGATTACTTACAGCAGTAATCCTATGTTGCTGTCCTTTATCGAAGATAATATCCAGGCGTGTTCAGAAGTCAAGTGATGTGGTCACATACAATCTTTTTATTTCAGTGTTACGGTGGAAGTGGAACTTAACGCTTAGAAATAGCATATTTTCTACAAATTAAATATTGGTTTGTCATCAAATTGTGGAAACAACACTCAGACTACGTTTGAAGTTAAGTAGTCTGGGGAGACGGGGTTGCTATCGAAGTAACGTGTATTCCTCTGAATGCAAAAGTGTTTTGTATTTGATTCACCTGCCTATGAAGTATTTTTTGTGGTGGCTAATGTGGTGGTTAATACGAAGAACTGTATAATGTAATGATTGCATTATATGATGAAATTGCTTAAGACAACAGACTTTAACTCTTATAAGTGTATATCTAGTCACTTGCCAGATAGGGAAAACCGTCCTTTCATGCTTTAGTATTACAAATTTATGATTTACACGTGCCTCCATTTTAGTGAGTTAGTATATTCCCAATTTAATCAAACAATAAAGGCTTTTAATAGCAGTTTCTATATATACTTATGTATGCATTAAGGTTTTGTCCAATCCCAATCATAGTTGTCCATCAAACTTCAGATTGTTAATTTCTTTTGTCCAAAAAAGCTATTGCACAAATGTGTATTTTAGGCAGTTATAAATATCAGATGAACATAAGTAATGAAGTTAACTACTTTTACTGAAACCTTTTGGTTACAAATGTATGAAAAAAAAGCTTTTGCATGTGAAAAAGGTGTAAAAGAGACTTTTTTTGAACACACAAGCACTTAGACTCGCAGCAAAGAAGGGTATCTGTTATCCCATATTTTAGTGAATATTGGCTAACTTATGAATCAGTAAAACGTTCATATATATATATATATATATATATATATATATAAAAGCTTCCTGACTGTTATTTTATCGTGGGTCTAGTTAGAAACATTTGTATGCAAAACTGGACAGCGTTTGAGCAAAAAATGCAACTTTCTTGCTGAACAGCTTGTAGGAGGGTGTAAAATACTAGATCACTAATTAATTAATGTAGGTAAACAAAAACTTGTTAACATAAAAAATACACGGACGATGATTAAAACTGAAGGGAAATCATATTAAGGTTCTTTTGCAATTTAAGTTCTTTAACAACAGTATTCATCTCCGTGTACTGAATATAATTTGTGTTTTACCTCCTTAGCTAAAGAGACATCATGGGTTATCCCTCTAAGACCAGCTGCATCTCACACCCCTCACTCGACTAATACCAACTCTCCTCTAACCTCGGTCACTAATGTGGCACCCAGGCATTTCAGCTCTAACTGTTTACATGGTGGTAGCAGACAACTAACCAGCTTCAGTGGTCATTTGACAACGGCTTCCGAAAACCCGTTTCCGAGTTAGGAGGGATGATAAAAACTTCACCGATTTAAGCATTCGATAGCAGCCGCCGGTCCAGTCACCGGAGGGGACCTCATCACTGAGCCGCAACATATATCAAAGACTTAGGCAACCACGCAGGCCATTTGGGTTCTTCTCGGGAGAGATAACAGACATATAGCCACACCTTCATCATATCTTGCATGCATCCTAAGACCCATACTATCCCGTCTTCCAGCAAAACATGTCGCACATGTAACCGATCCGACAGTTTCGGTACCCCAGAGTATTTATGAATATACAATTCCCTCCACAATTATACACTTTCTTCTGTGCTTCTGCTCCTTGACACCCTGGTGTTGAACGAAGGGTGGTGAGTCGGTTCATAGGTTAATGTCTGAGTGTCAGTGACAACTACGTGAAGGTTTATTGCTGTACAACTAAACTAAAAATACCATAGCCATCAGAAACACCAGTAAGCCAGGTATTCAACCAAGAACGACTAAATGTACGCCGTTGGCTAGACATCTGGCCAGCAGCACAAAATACACACATCATTGATTAGATGACGAGGGATTTGATTAGGAACTTCAGTCTCGACATCATATCTACACTTAATCATGTATTAATTCCTCATAATTATTATTACGATGTACCCATAAAATGCTCAGTCTGGTTAGGTGCCTGATAAAAGCGCTATCTGAAAGTTCATCAACTGCCTACTGTCTCATGAAAAACTGTCAGTGCAGATAGATCATTTGAGAAATGCTTTTTTTCTAAATCACCGGGAATCCATCTTAAAAGTGGTGCACTATTCAACAGTTTCTTTTTTTGCTATGCATCTGAAACACAGCGTACATCTTTTCATCTTTTTAACATTTCCTAAGTCATATAACGAAAATTATTTCATTTAATAATTAGAATTCTAGGGTGAATATTTAAATATTTTTAATCATATTTACCTTCACCTACCGCTTCAAAAATAACTATTACTCTTACACATAAAACAAAAAGGACATTCTAATGTATTTTATGCCAGATGCACATACAAACCTCATCATTAATGGCTTCTCATTTAACAGGAGGAATAAGAAATCTCAGCATTTAAAAGCATACGGTCTAGATACCATTGAAATGACTTGAATGCATTTTGTTACTTAAATGTTTTAAGTTGTAGCAAGAATTTCACTGGACATTCTTAGGATTGAGGTTCATTTTTAGGAACGTAATTGTCTGATATTTAAATCTCAGAATTTCTACTAACCTTTAAAATAAGCTACACTAATCTAGCTTTATAACAATTTTGCTCCCAGTAAATCTCTCGACAACAGAAGTACATATATTTCGCATCATTTAGTCTGAATACAAAACGATTAGGATGAAAGTTACTAGGTACTAACAATTAATTCACTGAGCGTGCATTTTTAATGTCTGTTGACCACTTAATAGCGTAACAGCATGACCGATTTTAGGAATCTATCAGGAGTGTTGTATTGTTGCTATGACTAAGGATTTGAAATGCGTGTGTTAAAATTAGTAGTATACAATCCATAAACACATAATTTGTGGCATACTTTCTTGTGAGTTGTGATTTTTAAGGCGATAGGAAATAAAGTAAAAACAGACTCATGGAGTGGTTAAAAGTTGTTACAGTTTTAGAGACTTTTGGAGCAATTCCTTCCAAGCTATAATTTCGTCAAAATTGACGACTATTGTATCAACAGTCAAACCATACAAGCTGCTATATTTTGAAGAATATGCTTTTATAAGACAATCATACAGTCCGAAAGTATAAACATGGGTTGGTTGTATCGGTGGTCGACTGGGTGACCACTAGTGATGCATGATACAACCGGGTAATAGACTTTGTTCTTCAACTAACCCTTTTTTATTGTCTCTGAATTCAAGAAGAATTTCACTTCAGTGGTTTCATACTTCATATCGTTCATCTTTGGATATTTCAAAAGTCTCTGTAAGATCTTAAATTGGCGAACAGTATTAAAAGTTGGTATGTACAATGTTCAGATGTAGATCCACTGACGCTGATTTTAACTTGATCACAAAATCCAACAATTTTTATTATGTACAGTACTTCAATACTCCCCTTAAGTATTTCATAATCACTAAGAAATTTTATAAATGGTTTTGTGAGTTAGTAATTTTATGAATACTTTAAGTTGCATTCGCAACAAAACTTCCCATACCCTTACGTGCAATAATTCGTGAAAGAATATAATTACTTTTGAGCAGAGCTTTATTTTTACGCAAAAGAAACAATCTTTCTAAAGGTTTTCAAACAAAATGTGGGTTCTTTAAAAGACTTAAGTGAAATATTTAATGACATTATTGTAAGACAACTCTTAGTTTATTGAGATGATTTTCCAAAAATTTCAAGTGACCACTTGTGTTCATGGCTTTGCTAAAATATAGCTCTCCAGTTGCTTAAATAATTGTATTGATTTTAAACCTGAGTAAGTGGTAATTTATCACCACATGGTGTATACTTGGAGTGTACTTTAATGATGGGCTGTTACAGGAACAGTAATTTGGAATTACTAATATATACTACAGTGCAATTGTAACCATCGAATAAATTTCTGATATGGCTAGCCTAGTGATAAAGCCTACAGCTTCAGAACTGAGTCATACAGGTTCAGATCACTAATGAGCTATTAGTCACCCACCCTGCGATGCCCCAGATATTCTTTTGCTAATGAATATCTACAGGCATGAAACCCAGGCCTAGGCTTTGTGATGTATTTAACACCAAGATTAAGGCCGCTGCAGTGCCGTTTAACGCATCTGAGCTGTTACACAGAAAAGAAAATTGAAAGACTTCAATCAGCAATGAAAACGTGGTAGTGAAACCGGTTTTCATGGAGTAACGGATTCATGTGAATATTTGATTGAGAGGTTTCTTGGTACTGACTGATTTTAAAGGAATGATTCCACTTGAAGTACTACTTCAGAACTAAGACAATTTGAAAAATCCTTTGATTTCGTATGACAGGTCTCAGCAGTATACAGCTGCGAACCCACTAGGGATCGATTCTAGGACCTCCAGACCTCTTCGCGAGCACATTAACATTCTGCCATTCAGCTGGAATCCAATGGTTGATACTTTTTAAACTTCTACCTATATATGGTCACTGCATTTCGTTACAACCATTCTTTCAAAATCTTGCAGTTTAGGATAAATGATATTAGTTGGATGACAGAGGTTAAGGTCATCTAAACCACTAAAATCTTACTTTTGTGGGAACGTGAGCTGGCAACACTGCCTACGTAACTTTCAGAGGTTATAAGTAAGTTGTAGTTAGACTTAGAGTTTATTTACCGTTGAAGGTAATAACATACTGACTCTGCATTTGAAAACGTAAGACGAAGGATATTGGTTTTAGATACTGTGAACACCAAATGAAATAATGGTATCAAACCAAAAAACGGAAGATCTAAATAATTCGTCATCAAAAAGGAAGAAGCTCATAGAATGAAATCTTTCCAAGTGACATGAACACAAATAAAGTGATCCCATTACCGTATTGCTCACAAACTACCTGTGTAATACACAAGATACAATGTTAATAGGTTTTTTATAGTGTTATGGGAACTGATTAAATAGTAAGTCAATGCTTACGTGTTCCTCAATGTTTACTGAAAGATTTATGTAAGCTGACAAAAATGAACCTGATGGGTTTCCACTGATTTCAAATAGAATTATGAAAGCGAAAAGTAAACTAGTTGACCATCTCAAATTAAATGATGAGGATCTCATCCTTTTCCAAACTTTTCACACTTATTGAGTAAAATATTCTTTTCTGTTTGGTTTTTAGCTGAAGGCAACCTAAATGGCGTTGTATTTCCAAGCAGACATGAAGCTCAAGAAACAATAAGAAAAGTAAAGCATGCCTTCAATGTAAATGAAATAGTCCGACCACACACACCAGGTGACACGGCAAATAAAATTTTCATTCGATTATTTAACACTGTTCAATGGTTGGATAAAGTTTGTCGACAAAAACTTGTCTCTGACTATGATCCAAATATGGTACGTGATATTGTCGAGCCTTTGCTAGAAGAAAACACAATTTCGGCAATTATGAGTAGATTACAGCGTAAACAACAAGAATTTTGGGAAGAACTAGGCCCAGCATGGAATACGCCGCCGTAAGTTATTCAAAACGCCTAATATTTCTCTTGAGCTGATTTCATCCCAAGTATTCGCTGAAGAATAGGGTTCTTCTCCTATTTACTCCCTCAGACTGTTGTACGGTGTAAAGAGGTTTTACCTATCATATTCCAGTTTCAGTATGAAATGTCTAGCAGTAAAGACTTCAGAGTAATATGTGATCGATGGCAGCTAATAATCTTCTCTGAAACATCAAAACGATTTCAGTAGTGTTGTTTCATTTTAGTTAAAAGAATATAATACTTACTTTTACTAAATAGGTTGCACCATTGAACAACTTGGATATACAAATATTCATTACTGGTTATTAGAAAATGATTGATGTCAAAGAAGATTTTGTCATGGATGGACATAAGTTGAAGAAAAAATGAGAACCTGAAAGCACTGCGCAGCTGTTCTGTCCAAACTAAGGACTTCTCAGCGGTAAAAAACTAAAGTCTTACTAGGGATCGAAGGCGTGAAATTTAGGTTTAGCAGCAACCACGAGGCATTCCGTGATTGAGTTGGAGCCTGATGGTTCACCTTTTCCTATTTATTATTATTATTTCTCCATTGGGTTCCTAGTGGAACATAAGACTACAGTAGCACGTCTCCAGTAAACGCTCTTCTCTGAAATCTTTTCAACCTGGCTCCACGACAGCCCACCGGCTCTGATTTCTTCCTCACACCATCTCCTCAATGTCACACTCACCTAGGACGCCCAACTCGTCCCTTCCCATCGGGGTTCCACTCAAGTGCCTGGCGTGAAGCATGATGTCCCCAGTCGGCCTTCTCAGTGCATACCCAATCCATCTCCACTTCCTTCTGCAGATTTGTTGAGTGATAGGTTCTTGGTTGGTTCGTTGCCAGCCAGCCAGCCAGAGTTCCTCATTGCTTATTCTTTCTGGCCATCTATCTGATCCTCAGTAACGAGCCAGCTCAGGCAATTGTTGATGAATGTCTGTAGTTTGTTGGAAATCCCTTTCGTAACGCGCCACCAAGTCTCTGAACAGAAGCACTGAATTGATGTTGGTGTTGAAAATCCGAATCTTGTTCACGCTTTATGCTGAGTGCAGAAGATCTCCACACTGGTTTCAGGCTAGTGAACGCCTGTCCTGTTTGTCTGATCCTGACTTCGACGTTCTCATCCGTGCCACCTGTAGTTGAAACGGTGCTGCCTAGATAGGTGAAAGAGACTACTTCCTTTAAGTTACTCCCATTGATGGTGATTGGCGTTTGTTTGTTGTTGTTGGTTGGGTATCTTCATCACCTCTGTCTTCTCTACGTTCACTTGAAGTCCCGTCTCCCTTCGCTGCTACGCCTCTTCTGTCAACTTGTTAGTTTTTGCCTGTAGATCTTCAAGTTTGTGTGACAGAAGATAAAAGTCATCGGCGAAATCCAAATCTCATAAGTTCTTTTCCCCGGTCGAGCCAGCGTATCACCCTCTTCTCACTCCTCACTGTTTGTTGTATGATCCAGTCCACTACAATCAGGAATATCATGGGTGACAGTAGACAGCCTTGTTTCACTCCTGTCTTCACTTCAGAGGCATCACTGAGCTTCCCATTGTGAATCACTTGGCATGTAGCTTCATCATATATCATATAGTTGTTGGATGAGATTGATAGAGGTTTGTGGCACTGAAACCGTGGTGTTGAAGCAGCTGTTTGTCAAATCACTTGTCGGTCGACGCTGTCGAAGGCCTTTTCAAAGTCGATGAAGTCGAAGTAAGGTAGAGTTGAGTTTACTGCCATTCTATACTCTGTTCTATGATGATGCGTGGTGTAGCGTTGCAATTTGATCCACACATGATTTGTTCCTCCTGAAGCCAGCCAGCATGCTCCGGTCGTACTTTTGAATCCAGCTCATCCTTCAGTCTCTGCAGAATGATGCGGCACAATACTTTGCATGGGGTGGACAATGGTGGGGCATGATTCCTCACCAGTTCTTACAAAGACTTATGTCGCCCTTCTTTGGGAGTTTGATCAGGTAGCCCTCCTTCCAATCAACCAGCAGGTACCTTTCTCTCCTCCCTTCCTTTCACACCTTCTACACTAGTGGTGTGAGCATGTCCCCTGTTCTCTCTGCGTCTGCTCTCAGTGCTTCTGGCGGGATTCCATCTGATCCTGCTGCTTTCCAGCATTTCAGTAGCTTTATGGTGTTCAGGACTTCGACTTTTGTTGAGAGATTTGTGTTCACTGGTGATTCTGTGGCTGGGCTGCTTGTGATATTTCTGAACAAAGTGCAGGTGATGGTGGTGGCGGTCGATTCAAGAATTTTTTGAAGTGGTCAGTCAGCCCATCGTCTCCTTTGTTTCCCTTCATTGGTAATTATATTTCCTTCATCATCTTTTATTGTTTCCATCTGTGTTGATCTCTTCCCCTCCAGATAATAACCTGGTTATTTGATATAATGTCGTCAGGTCTCTCCTACCTGAAGTCTGCAGCCTGTTCTGCTCCACTTGTCAATGTGTCATAGAAGTATCTTTTGTCTTTGTGTGCACTCTTCTTCACGTGTTTATCCAGTGTAGCATTTTATACGTTGTGTTCAGTCCTTCTTTTCGTTGTTCACCCTTGCACTGCACGGCACCGGTTCATCTTCTGCTTCACCATCCTCCTCTTCCTGTTCTATCAGCTTCCATGTGTCCATCGAGATCCATTCCTTATCTTCTTTCCTCCTTCTGAATACGGTTATGCAGGTTTCCCTCCACATCTCTTTCAAAGAGATCCGGAGTTCTTCTACACAGGTTTTTTCACGGATGTTGCTCAATGTCTTCCATTTTGTCTTGATGGCTGGTGTGAATATGTCTTCTGTAGTTTCGTCCTTCAGTTTCCGGGTGTTGAACTTCAACTGTGGTCTATCACCGATTTCCTCGAAGGCTGTCAACTCGATTTTGAGGGTAGTTTCCTTGCACTAGACAATGAGTGGTCTGAACCTACATTTGCTCCTCTTCTTGACCTTATGTCAAGTTGACTGCGTCTCCACTTACTTGAGATTGAGATAAAGTCAATATGATTTTTAATGTGTCTATCTGGTGAAATCCATGTCGCTTTGTGGATATCCTTGTGCTTGAACACACTCCCCTGCTTGAAAACAGTGCCTGCCTCCAATCACCAAATCGTTGAATGCTCAGAAGTCTGCAAATACTTCTCCATTCTTGTTCTTCATTTCACTGAGTGCTTCTCAACCCATGATCAGTTCTCTTCGTGTGTTGTCCACTCCCAGTTTCGCATTCATATCACTCATTAGAATTTCGATGTCGCCAACTGGGTGGGGTCTTGTCCAGTGTTGATTGCAGTTGTGTGTAGAATTCCTCCTTCTTCTCTTCATCTGCATTATTTGTAGGTGTGTAGTGTAGCATTGTATGCTTGTGACTTTCCTCCTTTTGAGTTGAATCTTGCTGTCATGATACTGATCCCGATCCTGATCGTGATCGTGATGTTGGAGGAGATTGGTTCCCACTGTATGAGAGACTTTGACAGTCTTAGCGACATCATGGTTGCCACTCGAAAAGTCAGTGTGCTCTTCTCGTGGTTGTCTTCTGGGTGAGAATATCCGAGTAGATTATTGACTCCTCTCCAGTTGACAGTTTGGAGAGTCCACTTCCATTCCATCTGCAGATTCCTCGCAGATTCCAAGCACTTGCATGCTATACCTCCTCATCTCTTTTGAAATGTGGGCAGCCTTGCCAGCTAGGTTCACACATGGTGTGGACATTCCATGTGCCCACGTTTACTCTCGCTTTGATCGAGAGAAGTGAAGACACATCGGTCGACTGGCTTCCCGAAGGCTTTCACCAACGGGCATCACTTCGTCTCCCTGACTGCAGTGAGGAATAAGTTAATTTTTATTTTCTATGTTTTCTTTGTGGTTTGAAATTTGTTTAGTGATTGGATTGGTTTTCCGGGGTAGGGTTGGTATCCGTATGGCCAAACCTCCTTCTTTATCGAGTCTTTGTACCGGCTAGTAACTAGTGATCTAGTTAACCAGTCGAGATTTCTTTTTCCTACTTACTTTTGTATTATTAGTTAACAGAAGTAGAAAAATGTTGACTCAACAACTGTCTTTAAATTTGCTACAGTGTCATATGCATTTTATTTTGTTATTTTCGAAATATGAAATATCCTAACACTGCACACTGGTTATTTCTCTTCCAATATTTTTTTCTGGTTAGATCTAATATCTTACTAATTTCGTTTCTTTCATCTTCCCGTGTGGTTCTTAGGCAACGTAACTAAATCCTTTCAGAGATATACCTTGGTATGTTTCTAGAAAGTATCCTACAACAATTTTTAGAGAATAACGTTTATTGTACATCCATGCTGAACAAGTCCTTTACAGAAATAATTGAGTGCTTTTTCTTTGTTTAGTGCTCCTCATTTCTACCGCCCTTCCATGTGTTTCGGAATATAACTCAAATAAGGCCTGTAACTTTATTCGAATTGCTCAATCCCACACTGAACTCGTAAATTAATCATTTCGAAAACCTACATGTGGTACTATTATCATATCATCTGTAATAATAGAGCATAGTTTACTTTCATACACACAAGATACAGAAACTTTTATAGCAGGTTACTAATAGGTGCCAAACAAAGTCGTTGGTAAGAATGAAACAACATTTGTACAATGAGTAACACATATGAAGAAATATATGAAGGCTGGTTGCAATCGCTAATAGTGTTACACCAGCTTATTTTAAATATGCCTCTGGAGTAATTGGATAGCAGAATAGAGAGGTTACATTAATTTTCGAACTTCACTAAAACTAGTCCAACCCAAAAGCTGCATCACGAATTAAGTATGTGTAAACACCTTAATTATAAAAATACAATACTCACTATAATTATGATCACTAGGAATCAAAATTAGACTTTCATACTCGTAGGAAGGAGTTGGCTACCTGAATGCAAACAGAATGATGCTACATTTCTCGACCAACAGATAGATATCAGTTATTGCTTAATTCTAAATCATGGACTTGGTTTCCATCGGTTAG